TTTTACTTTTTTGGCCGTAGTTATATGGGTGCCTTATTCGAATTATACATTCGAATTCGAGTAAAAATTCATCTTTTACTTTTTTGGCCGTAGTTATATGGGTGCCTTATTCGAATTATAAATTTGAATTCGAGTAAGCATTTATCTTTGACTTTTTTGGCCGTAGTTATATGGGTGCCTTATTGGAATTATAAATTCGAATTCGAATAAAAATTTATGTTTTACTTTTTTGGCCGTAGTTGTATGGGTGCCTTTTTTTGTTATATTCGAAGTGATAGCAAGCAGTTGACGCTCCAGTTATATTGGAACTCGAATTAGGCATCTCGTGACTTTAGTATCAATCTTGTTCTGTGTATAAACTAAAGCAAAATCATGTGTATATATATTTAAAAAAGCTGTCTTCCTTCGCGTATTCAACGATATCGCGAAAAATGAGTGGAAGAATAGTAGCACATGGCTTGTTTGTTTGCAATGTGTGAATTTAACTATCGCTTGCTTGCTCTTTCATTCGTCGTTCGTGCAGCCGAAAAGTAACTCTAAACAAAATAATCAATGAGCGTCACAGTATGCGCGAAATAATATTGACAACATTATCACACTATGCTTCTTTTTTCCTTAGTGATTTCACTTTTTTTTTTCTTGTTCTTTCATTCGTCCTTCATACTAAAACGATACTAATACACTAATTGAAGCATTTAGTTGCCTGATATATAAATATCGAAAGAATGACTGATTTTTATCAGAAATTTTTCAGTATTCATATCTCAAAATAGTAGATTCAAACATCAGTGAAACTTCCACAATAAACTAGTGTCATTGAGAACTTCATGTATGCAAACTTTCAAGTCGAAACTCAATTTTCATGGTTATCTGAGGAGAAATACCGCATTCTGTTAAAAATACAGTAAAAATTCAATATTGCAAGAACAAATGTTCAGGCGAACGAATCCCTTTTAAGCTGTTACATTACTCACCATGATCTCTTATCAAAACAACGATCTAACACTTGAAAAGTCTCCCTTTTTGACAATAAATCAATTCAACATCGATTAGGAATTGTCATACAAGAACATCAATCGATTTCGTAGTACATTTAAGCTTAGAATGTTGTTCCAATAATAAATGTTTACAAAATATTTGACTAATCTCTCACTGAATCGTGAATGCTGCTATCTCATGTCTAGTTCCGTATTGCGAACATTGATATATGTAGATAAATATGTATGTCTATGCTCTACTTGAAATGATACCTATATGTACTTATATCTGCATACGATATATAATCTTTCGGAGAGTTTCTTTTCTAGATTTTGCCATCTCTATTCAACTGATAAACTCAATTTTAAAAAAAAATAATCGAAGAGAACTTCAATTATGTCTGAAATGAGTGACGCTGAACTTTCGCGTAACGCTAATGTTCGTCTATGCCGATTACGTGTTTGGCCAGAATTCGAAGGACTTGGTTTTAATCTTGAAGCATCTACTCGACCACCACATTTAATTCGTCTTGTCGAATCAAATAGTCCAGCAGCAGCTGGTGGTTTAAAAATTCTTGATGTTATCTTAGCTGTTAATAAAGAAGATGTATCCGAAGCTGATTATAATCGTGTACGAAATGCTATTAAAACAGCTCATGATAGTAATGCACCTATTGAACTACTTGTTGTTGAACAACGTTTTTATCAAATGTTAAAGAAAAAAAATCTAACAATTATTCCACAAATGGCAACTATTATAAATACACCAGCAACAATGCCAAATGAATATTTAAATTTTCCTAAACATACACCACGCACATGTAATATACGTTTAGGTAAAAATGATTCATCATTTGGTTTTGAAGTTATTAATGGTGAAAATGATATTGGTGCATATATTCAAGAAGTATTTCCAAATACACCAGCTAGTAATACACCATTACGTAAATGTGATCGTATTATTGAAATTGATGATAAAGATGTTGATAAAGATATAAGCAAGTCTATATTAGAAAAATTAGATAAAGCAAAAACAAAAGGTGCTGTTAAATTATATGTTGTTGATACTGAAACATATAAATATGCTCAATTAAATAAAATACTATTAAGATCACAAGGACAACATCAGAACCAATTAACAGGTACATTATTACTAAATCAATATCATACAAATAAACCCATATCTAAGTATCAAATAATCCTAAAAAAGAATATATACATATATATAATTTCATTACTAACCTGATCAACCTTGAATATTGTATTTGTTCAAAACTTGAAAATTAAGGAGTTTTATATCACTTTTCAGTCTTTATTTATTAGAGAAAAAAAGCTATTTGAATAGTTCTGATTTTTTTTCTGCCTAAGAAAAATGACAACGGTTTATGTGGAACCTTTTTATTTAGCTTCACCTATCAATCATGGTAATCAATCACCATCATCGAATACATCAACAATTCGTGAGATATTAAAAGTTATAACACCAAGTGTAGATGATCTCACACAATCGACAAGATCACAAGAACTACCAATAATTATTCCTTCATCATCAATACCATTACGAAATGAAAATATTCGTTTATGTACTATTTATCGAGCTGATCCTAGTGATACATTTGGTTTTGAACTTAATTATCATCGTCGAGAGCAATTTCATTCATTATCTATTATACCTGGTCGAGATAATGGACGATCAAGTAAGATTTTCAATGATGTATTTTTATTGCAATTTCCTCTTTTTTTTGTTGTTCTTCTCTTGATCATTAATTATTAATCAGTAACATCAAAATAATTTCTATCGTTTATTTCAAATAGATTATTTTAACTCTTTAAAAATTAAAATTGAATAAATCACAAACTCTTGAGAATTAAGAATTTTTCATTTAAAAAGAAAAAAAGAAAAATAAAGAGAGTGGTCAAAAAAAATCATCTGTTCGAAATAATAAGTTAGTTCTTATCAGTTCGAAATGTTAAGAAAATGTTTAGGCGTTCAAGTACAAAAAAACAAGTAGCAATGTATTCAAGTGAGTACTTAATAAAAAAAAAATAAATGAATCTCACGGAAAATACTTCTAATGGATTAAAATCTAACTTTTAGAACTAAGCATGTAGATATTGCCTATTAAACATGAACATGAATGTACTTTAATTATTTTTAAATGAAATATATAAAAAACAGAGCAGTTAACTAAAAGAAATTCCAATTCATATTTTTAAATGAAGTTTTATCATTCATAAGAAATGAAAATTGAATATAAACATCTGCAAATATATGAATATACATAATAAGGTATTAAAAAAATTATTTTATGATAAGATGAATTTTTATTACAACAAATAAAATGAAAAGTTAAGTTTTCGCTCTTATAAAACCAATTCTATCAGACATTTTCTTATTCTAAAAGGATAAAGTTCATGATTTTATTTGATTTATTCTATATAGATGCTGAACTTGCTGGTATAGAAACGGATGATCGTTTAATTGAAATCAATGGTCAAAATATCCAAAATTTGAGTCACGAGCAAATAACACAACGTATACGTGCTGTTAAACATCCTGATCCATTAGAACTTCTAGTAACTGATGTTTCAACATTTGAATATTATAAACAACAACAAAAAGTTATTCACCGTGGTTTACCAAATGTTAAAATTATGCCAACTAACAGATCAATGCATTCACAATAGAGTCCTGCAGGGTACAACTTTTTCGTACCTTATACCGCACCCTGCGAGAATTTCGATACCCTGGCCCTACCCTACCCTACGCTTCTCGTACCTTGACCCTACCCTACGCTCTTCTTACCCTAACCCTACCCTACCACACACATTTTGTATCTTGTACCCTACTATACACAAGATTTTACATTTAAGTGAATGCTAACAGGCTGTTTTTTTTTGCATTATATTTCAATAGATTTTTATTAATTTCTAACAAAAATAAAATACAAAATTATGACATAAAGGGTGTTTCATTAGTAACGGCCCCCTTTGTATTTTTTTCTTATCTTTATCATATTTGAAGATGAATACTCATCAACGATACAGTTTTGAAGAGTAGCATCTAAGCTATCACCCAATGTTGGTGGTTCTCAATCTACATCAAATCTACGAAAGGACGGCATTAGTGAAAATATTGAAAAAAGTTTATCAAATTTATTTTGTATCTTTTTCCTACAGAGTATGATATTCTCAGTATTTCGTGAATGTCCCTCGCAACTTTTGACGCATTAACTTGAATTTTTTCCAAAACCTAACTTGTGAAATTTTCTACAAAATTCAATAAAATAACGCTTCAAAAGAACAATTAGAAAACAATATCTGATCAACAGTACTATATTTCATAGAAATCCCACTCCTACTATCCAATGAAAAATTTTAAGGATTTAAGCAGAATTATTTTACACCAAAATTAAAATCGATTGAAATCTTCGATTATAATCGACTATGATTGAATCAGAACTAGATTCTATTGCTTGTGTAGTGAAAATTTTCTCGATTAAAGTCTGATTATTCTGGAGCAAAAACATAATTATGATTGAATTGGTAATTTCGATTTTGCTGCAGAATAGTTAGATTTTAATCTGGAAAATTTTCACTATATAAGCAATAGAATCAAGTTTTGATTCAATCATAGTCCATTATAATCGAAGATTTCAATCGATTTTAATTTTGGTTTTGGTGCAAAATAATTTTGCTTAATTCCTTAAAATTTTTCACTGTGTAACGTTGTCTTTTTTCTGCAAAGTCAATGGTAGCTTCTTTCATGAAGGAACAGGTTTGAAGCCATCAGGGGTGTTGCGACCACTGGGGGATGGGGGGGGGGGGGGTCCCCCCCCCCCCCCCCCCCCAGTAATCGAAAATTATTGACTTAGAAAAACTGCAACTAAATTTTTTTAAAGGAATTGAGAAAAAATTTCCAAAAGGTACAACTTTTTTCGATAGTTTATTTGTAGCGAAAGTGTGTCAAGATTGTGGAAAGTAGCATTATTCATGCATTGAATTATTAGAGTTGCTATATAGGTGTCATGCCATGACGAAAAACAATGTACAAATAAATCGGGTCATATATTTTCATACATAGGACAGCCAATTGTGTTGATTGAGGCTTTCATGATTAACCCTAGTACTACCATGCCTATTTTAGACATTATACAATGATATATTTTTATTATTCAATTTTTTTCATCATCAAACCGATGTTTTTGTCCAAGTTATACTATTTTCTATTCGGTCTGATGATGGAATGGGTGTGGGTGTTAGTGTGGGTCTGGGCAAAAGTGTCTGCTATTCATGCTCACGCCGACACCCACATCTTTACACCTACACCCACACCAAGCAGAAAAATACCACGATATCTTTATTAAATTTCATTTATCTACAGTGGGGTCATTCTTGACCCCGCTTGGTAGTAACGGTCTATCGAAAAGTTTTTGGACAAAATATTTGCCCATTTTCGACTCTCTTAAAAGTATTCTAGACGAGTGAAAAACTAAGGGTTAGGGCCAGAATTTTGTGCTCTTTCCGAATATGGGCTCCGAAATTGTGTATTTGTTTTCGCTCGAGAGTAGTGAGGAAACCTTTGAAAGGTCTAAAAAATAGTTTGGACGGATCGGTTGGACCGAAGTTTCTGGAGAATATTTTGTTCATATTTGACCGGTTTAGAAGTATTTTAAATGAATGAAAAACTAGGGATTTGGAGTAGAATTTTGTGCTCTTTTCAAATATGGGCTCAGAAATTGTGTATCTATTGTTGTTGTAGAGTAGTGAGGGAATCTTAAAACGTCCTGAAAAACTGATGTGAGTGGCGAACAAACAGGCATTTGCGACCTCCGTAAGTCCCTGTGCAAAGGTGCTAAAAATGATTCAATTTGATAATTTTCTAGAGCGAACAAACGTTTATAAAATATTATGTCGAACTAAAATGTAGCTTTTACACTAGTGAAACTATAACCATATTCGTAAGAGCTACATCTGCTTAAATCGAATTTTGATCAAAAAATCGATTTTTCAAAAATGCGGCTGATAGAAAAACAACAATTTAGGTATTTTATCAGAACAAAAAATTAAGCTGAATTACTACATTTTGTAGAGCAAATTTTGCTCTACAAGCTGATATGTGAAGAAAAGTTTCAGCATTTAGTTCTGAATACCAAGAATGGAAATACGAAATTTTACGAAGAAATTTTCTGTCCAAACTATGTTTTTAAACCTTTCAAAGATTTCCTCACTACTCTCGAGCGAAAACAGATACGCAATTTCGGAGCCATATTCGGAAAGAGCACAAAATTCTGGTCCTAACCCCTAGTTTTTCACTCGCCTAGAATACTTTTAAGAAAGTCAAAAATGGGCAAACATTTTGTCGAAAAACTTTTCGATAGATCGTTACTAGGGTTAACCAATGATAAAATGGAATGGTTGATCATTTGTTCAGCTAAAAAAGATTTATTAGAAAATGTTGTTTTATCGAAATTTGCTGAAGATTGGTCAAGATTAAAGAACAGACGAGTAAAAATTGTATCGAGTTCGTGATATTTTTTAGGTCTTCATTTATTTCATGATTTTCCGAATGTCCTTAATGCTTTATTTTTTTGAAAAAAAAAATATTCAAACAGATATTCTTAAAATAGTCTTGCATTTCATTTCACAAAAAGAAACTTATACTACCTCGAGTACGATTTTATAAGTATCCCCCCCCCCCCCCCCCTCTTTGGATGCGCGCGACATCCCTGGAAGCCGTCCTAAGTTATTCATTTGGACAGCCGTTCATATTGAACTTTGTAGAAAATTTCACAAGCTATCTTTTGGAAAAAAATCAAGTTAATGCATCAAAAGTTGAGAGAGATGTTCACAGAATACTGAGAAGGTCATGTTCTATAGGAAAAAGATACAAAATAAATTTGATAAACTTTTTTCAATATTTTCACTAATGCAGTCCGTTCGTAGATTTGATGTAGATTAAGGATCATCCACATTGGATGATAGCTTAGATGCTACTCCTCAAAACTATATCGTCGATGAGTATTCATCTTCAAATACGATAAAGATAAGAAAAAAATACAAATGGGGCCATTACTTATGAAACACCCTTTATTTTGAAACTTTCTTAAAAATAAAACATCATTAACAATCTTGCCGTTTTAATATTGTCTTCTTTCTTCTAAAAATCTTCCACTTGCATTGAAAATACGTTTACTTGTTGCTAAACTAGCTAGAATTCTTAATAGTCATTTTGTCCGTACACTAAGTTGTGGATAATGTAATTGACCATTTCTGCCCTAATTATATCATGGATTGTTTTTGTTCTACCCTGGCGCTACCCTACCCTATGCCCTCCGTATCCTGACCCTACCCTACCCTGTGCCTCGTACCCTCACCCTACCCTACCTTGTGTCCCCCGTACCGTAACTCTACCCTACCCTGCAGGACTCTAGTTCACGATCACCAACTGCTTCATCACATCGATGAATGTATTTTAAAAAAATTTGTTTATTCTATTTTTTAAATTAATTGTTGGGTATGAATGGGTGTAGAGTGTTAGTATGCTCTTCTATTTACTTACCCACATCTACAACCATACCACACACCTACTCACACTCACCCACGCACCTATTGCACACCCAGAAAAAAGAGGATTCTTGTACTTTGCTTTTTCAGAAACTCTTTAAAAGTTTATTATCATACGATTTCTTTTACAGTCTGCTTCTCCTTCTTATATATATGTTCATAAAACGATAGCATAGTTATTTTATAGCATGTATGATACAGATAATCATTCTAACAAAAATCCTCTCCTTCTAATAATGAAAATATGTTTTTTCAACTACATTCGGCGATAATATTTTTAAAATAAATATTTCAAGCTGTTGTTCAATTTTCTGACTTTCTTATACAATGAACGCATTGTTTATTTGATAGTCCTAACTAGAACATACTTTATGATCTTCTTCATGTAGTGACATATGTATTTTAGCCTATGGATCAGATTCAGAATCCAAAAGTGGCAATAATCAGTCAGAATATGATGATGATGAATCTTTTAATCAAGTGAGTAGTTTCTATGCAATATTTGTCGTTCAACCTTATTGAATATATTTAGTCATGCCCACTTCATATAAATTTGTCAGATGCAGAAGTATACGTTCCGAATGAATACATTCAGATAACTA